GAGTGGCTAAAAAGCACTTAAGGTCATGCTCAACCTCCTTAGCGATCAGGGAAATGCAAATCAAAACCACTTTGAGATATCATCTTACACCTGTCATAATAGCTAAACTCGAAAACACCAATGATAGCCTATGCTGGAGAGGATGTGGAGTGAGGGGAACACTCATCCACTGTTGGTGGGAATGCAAACTTGTGCAGCCACTGTATAAATCAGTGTGGCAGTTTCTCCGGAAACTGGGAGTCAACCTCCCTCAGGACCCAGCAATTCCACTCTTGGGAATATACCCAAGAGATGCCCTATCATACCACAAAAGCATTTGTTCAACTATGTTCATAGCTGCACTATTTGTAATAGCCAGAACCTGGAAACAACCTAGGTGCCCCTCAATAGGAGAATAGTTAAAGAAGGTGTGGAACATATACACATTAGAGTTGTACTCAGCAGTAAAAAACAATGACATCTTGAATTTTGCATGCAAATGGATGGAAATAGAAAATGCTTTACTGAGTGAGGTAACCCAGACACAAAAAGAGGAATATGATATGTACTCACTGATAAGTGGATTCTAGCCATAATTAAAGGTCTTGAGCCTATAATTCCTGATCCTAGAGAAGCTAAATAAGAAGGTGAACCTGAAGAAAATCATATAGTTATCCTCCTGGATATTGGAAGTAGACAAGATTGCCAGGCAAACTTGGGTGCACGGTTTTGGGGGGTGGAAGTAAGGGGAGATGGTTAGAGAGAAGGGAGAAGGGGAGGACTGGGGTAGCTTGGGGGAATGGGATGGGTGAGGGAGGAAGGATGGATATGGGAGCAGGGAAGTATTTATCTCAACTAAGGGAACCATTTTAGGGTTTGCAAGAGACTTGATTCTAGAGGGGTTCCCAGGTCCAAGGGGAGGTCCCCAGATTGTTTCTTGGGCAGCAGAGGAGAGGGTGCCTGAACTGGCCTTGTCCCATAGCCACACTGATCAATATCTTGCATATCACCATAGAACCTTCATCTGGCGATGGATGGAAATAGAGGCAGAGACCCACATTGGAGCATTGGACTTAGCTCCCAAGCTCCAAATAATGAGCAGAAGGAGGGAGAACATGAGCAAGGAAGGCAGGACCGCGAGGGGTGCGTCCACCCACTGAGATGGTGGGACTGATCTAAAGGGAGCTCACCAAGGCCAGCTGGACTCAGACTGATGAAGCAGGTGATCAACCTGGACTCTCTGAATGTGGCTGATGGTGGAGGCTGACTGAGAAGCCAAGGACAATGGTGTTGGGCTTTGATACTACTGCATGGACGGGCTTTGAGGGAGCCTTGTCTGTTTGGATGCCCACCTTCCTGGACCTTGGGGGAATGGGGAAGACCTTGGACTTCTCATAGGGTAGGGAACCCTGAAGCCTCTTTGGCCTGGAGAAAGAGGGGGAGTGGGAGTGGGGGAAGGGGAGGGAAGTGGGAGGAGGGGAGGAGGTGGAAATTTTTAATAATAATAATAATAATAATAATAATAATAATAATAATAAAGAAGTAACTTCTGTCTTGTAATTACCCAGCTTATCATTTGTTTTCTCCATTTGTATATCATCCTCAGGAACTGGTCAACAAGTGAATTTTAGATGGTTGGGCATGGTGGTACAGATCTTGGGACTAGGGAGTCTAAGCCATCGGGTCTTGAGTTGAAGGATAGCCTGGGCTATAAAGAGAGAACCTGAATTTAAAAAAATGTTATAAAATTAAAACAAGCCAATGAATATTTATTCTGTTAGAGAATATTCATTTTGCAATGCTAGATAAATAAACAATGACAGAAAACACGACCATTAGAACTGGGATGTAATTGAAGAAAATAAATAGTGATGTGTTTATTTGTGAGTGAAGGCGCTTCAGGCATCTTGTAAGCAAACAGAAGTTTATTGATGTGCAGGTGGCGATATGCATTTGGTTAAACAATGTCGGTTTTCATGAGTAGCTGTACATCTTGTTTACAACATTTGAACACAAGTACCCATTAAGCTGCCAATAGGAGCTCCTCTGGGACAGGCTGATTTTAGATAAAGTGCTTCCATATGGCTTTTACAGACTTGTGTATGCTACAGAATTTTCCTAATGCTTATACATGTGATTCAATAACAAATCCAGAACAAATCTGTGCAGAAGTAATTATTGTGCTGTCCACATGCCAGAGGCATAAGTATATATGCATATATATATTAAATTTTTTTAAAGATTTTTTTCGTTTTTCATACCAACCACAGTTTCCCTCCCTCCCCTCCTGCAACTCTCCCTACCCCACCTTTCCCTTACCCCCCCCATCCACTCGTCAGAAAGGGTGAGGTCTCTCGTGGGGAGTCAACAATGTCTGGGATACCAAGTTGAGGCAGGACCAAGCCCCTCCTGCCTGTATCTAAGCTGAGCAAGGTATCCCTCCATAGGGAATGGTCTCCAATAAGCCAGTTCATGCACCAGGGATAGATCCTGGTCCCACTACCAGTGGCCTCACAGACTGCCCAAGCCACACGATGGTCACCCACAGTCAAGAGGGCCTAGTTCGGTTCTATGCAGGATCCCCAGCACAGAGGATGTAATATCATGGTCCTTCTTTAATAAATGAGACCAGTTTCCAGCACCCACATCTTGCAGCTAACAGCTGCTTATAACTCCAGCTGCAAGAGATCCAGCGCCTCTAGTCTCATCCACACCTACACTTATGTGCACACACCCAGACCCAGACACACATTCATGCACACATGCAAATAAAAATAAGATAAATATTTTCATGAAAAGAAAGCTGTGTATTCCAGATGTGGTTTACCCATTTATAACCCCAACACCCAGGAAGCCGAGACAGGTAGAATACTGAGTTTGAGGCCAGCCTGAGCTATATAATGAGCTAAGCTAGCCTTGGCTACAGCATGATACCTGTCTTAAACAATAGCAGCAACAAAGGCAGCTTTTGCCAGGGTTTCATTTTATGGTGGGGAAGGACTCAGTTATCTTTAAGGGGCTGGCCGCTGTGGGGTTGACCGTGCTCCAGTGAGGACAGAGCCAACTCAAATTGGACTTGATGCATTTTTTTCTTTTTTGGAGGGGCACAAGGGTTGGAGGGTGGACCTGGGGGTGTTGTAAAAGGAGCGGCAGGCTGCGTACTGCCCGGCTCCCGGCCGCCCAGCTAGCTTAACCTCTGAAATAACTGCACACAAATTGTATTAATTTAAACACTGCCTGGCCCATTAGTTACAGCCTCTTATTGGCTAACTCTCACATCTTGATTCAACCTATTTCTAATAATCTGTATGTCACCACGAGGTCGTGACTTACCGGGAAAGATTCAGCATGTCTGACCTGGCAGCTTCATGGCTGGCGGCTCTCTGCCTGCCTCCTTCCTCCCAGCATCCAGTTCTCTCGTTCCCGCCTACCAAGTTTTTTCCTATGAAAAGGCCAAGGCAGTTTTCTTTATTCAATCAGTGAAAGCAACACATAGAAAGAAGACTATGGGGGGAATGGGAAGTGAGTGTCATCAGGGTGCATTGTATGAAACTCCCAAATAATTAATAAAAAATATTGTGTTGGACAAGAATTCCATGATAATGATCAACTGCCCTGGAAACGTAAAAATATGAAACATGGAACGAGATCCTATGTGAACACAAGCATACAGAAAGCTTAGTATACATGTCTGTGTCTGTATTGAAGTAAATGCCCAGTCCACTGAAACCGAGTTTGTGTGTGGATGCTGAAACATATGCAAACATTCATCAGTGCTTTCCGACGTGATCCCGACAATGCTGTACATTTCAGCAGCAGCACGTGGTTATTTCCCGAATTCTTAGCAGATACCATGCCTTTTACTTAAAAAAAAAATACTGTAAGACTGTCCCCTCCCTCAGCGAGGTGGAGCTGCACAGTGAGGTTGTGGACAGTGCTCTGAAGCCGGGAGGAAGAAGCGCCTCTTGGAAAGCAAACACAAGGCTAAGGTTTTCACATCCAGATTTGTCCATATTTGAATATGTGTATCACCCCAAACGACACTGCAAGAAGACTTCCTTTTTCTTCTAGTTTTAAAGAATAAAATAATTATCAAAACCTCACTCTCAATATAGAGCCTGCTCTATTATATGTGCTCCTAGTCTACTAGACACATAATTTGGAGTTGTGGGGGTTTTCTCCCAATATATGGGTTTGATTCTCTGGCCAGGGGACGTGGGAAGGGGACCAGGGAAGAAACACTAGTTGTGCTGCCTGGAGTGACTGCTCTTCAACCCCTTAGCTGGAACCATTTTCTTTTCCCACGAGATTCAGGTCCCTGGAGTTTATCCCAGATGAAATTAAATGAAATCTATGCCCTGGCAATTCTGAAGCATGCACGGGCAGGCCTTTATATGGCGGTTCTGTTGAACGTGTCCCTGTTGGGTTTCATGGTCTAAGTTGATGAGGAAGACTGACCAGGTCTCTTCTTCAAGAGGGCACTAGCTTTCATTACAGGTGGTTATGAGTCACCATGTGATTGCTGAGAATTGAACTCAGTACCTTTGGGCGAGCAAGCAGTGATCTTGACTACTGAGCCATCTCGCCAGCCCAGAAACTCCAAGACAATTTGGTTCCATGAGAAAATGCTGAGTGAATCCCAGGGTGGCGCGGTGGGAATGGAGGTGAGTGTGTGAGTGGGTGAGAGAATTGTGAAGACTGGGCACGTACAAATTGAGTTCTTGAACTAAGTCTCTGTTCAATTTTAAAGGAAAACCAAAAGGAAAATCATGGTGCAAGCAGATTTTCTCAAACTTGGCAAGGACAACGCCGGCATAGTTTCTGGTGCCTTTGTCTTCTTGGTCACACTTTCCACCATCACACTGGATGGGAGGGAGAAGAGCTCGTGGAGGAGACTGGTTTTTTCAGATAGAGTTCTAAGTGCGACTCCTCCACCGTGAGGACATTTCTGGAAAATTTCCCAAAGCTTTCTCCAACAGAGCAATCCCCACAGGGCAGGTTGCGACTTCTGTTCTCAAGACCTCCCTCTGGGGTCCACGTGTGGTGAGCTGGCCTATGGGGGAAGCGCAGGTAGGGGAGGTGCTGGGAAGCAGCGTGAGGCTCTCGGAAAGTGGGCGGGACTAGGGAGGCCACCTGCGGACCGACTCCGCTTCTAGCTGTTCGACTTTCCGCCTTTTCCCCTTGGACCTCAGAGGAGACCAACACGTGGGATCTCCGAGGAGTAGGGTCCTTTTAGTAGCAGAATCTGACTGCAGAGAACAGGACAATACCCAATGGCTGGGGACAGAACTTTATGTCAGCTAAAAGTCTCAGGTGCATCCATTTTGTTTCAGAGACTTGGAGCGGAGTGGAAGGACCGGGGCAAGCGAAGAGAAGTCAGGACGTGGAGGAAGCCGACCACGCCAAACTTACTGAGACCACAGCGGAGACCAGAGGACTGAAGACGAGCAGCCAGAAGGTCATCTGCTAGACGTGAGTAACTTAGCTTCGCTTTTTCAAACATGGCTGTTATATGGTAGATCGTAATTTGTAGACGTGGTTGTTTCTAGAAAATACAAAAGCAGGAGAATTTTTTTTAAAGCATCAGTTGTCTAAAGATTACTAATACTTTAAAAAGCAGTAAAGCTACAAATGAGGAAATCTAATGATTTAACGCCCAAAGTACAAGGGAATGTGTCCATTAAAAAAAAAAAAAGTATATATTCCACACGCAAAGCGAAACTATGAGAATGTGTGGCAAGGCTGTGTTGGTTGTTTTGTGATTAAGGTACCGTTTATTTTTACTCTGTAATTCCTCAAAACTGAATACTTTGCCAGGAGCAGGTAAACTTTTACCATTTTTTTTTTTTTGAGGTTGAAAGAGCTTCCAGGGTAAAATACAAGTAGTGATACTAATTCGAAGCACTCAGAAGTCTACAGTGATTTGTTGGGCAGCAAATGATTTAGCTAGCACCAAACACTTTGCGCAAAGCTGTACCCAACATGCGTCTGGGTATGTTTAAGGAGAAGCGAGCACCAAGTTCATGGTTATATGCAACCATTTCCTTGTAGACACTGTTTAAAAGTTTATATTTTCAATCCTGGTCGATGGTAAACCGGAATGACTGTGTTATTCAGCTTGAACATTGCAGCCACTGTTGGGCATTCCTATCTATATGGTATTTAAACATCTATACCATACAAAGACATAACTGAAAGGCTACTGCCACATACAAAGGGTGTGAATTGCATCTGCTGGCCAGTTTTCTTAGAATATACACGTGTTACTGAATTTCGGAAATACCTGTTTTGTTTTTAAAACGAAACCTGCTTTTAAGATCAAAACAACGGCTGAATTCTGTATAGTGACTAAGTTCTAAACTGATAGCTTTTTTCTGCCTTTACTAAAATATGATTAACACATGAAAATTGAGTGGGTGTATTCAGGTATTCAACATGCTTATATATACATACCCACACATATATTCTGAAATGATGAGCGCAATCAAGCTGAATGTGTCAAGTTAGTGTTTTTCATGTGTGGTGAGAATGTTTGAAATCTTCTGTGTTTGCAATTTTCAAGAGAAATGCTAATTTCAATCATTAGTTGTTAAATTCTGTTTGTTTTATGGTGTTTAAAGACTTTTTTGAGATGAAGATTTGGCTAGAGTTCCTATGTTTCTTAAGTTTCGTTGTGTAGTACCTGTTTTATTATCGCATGGCAGGTTAGGTAAGGAAGGCCTCGCTAAGAAATTCGAAATTCTTTGAATGGTAATATTATAGTTATTTTATATGCTATGTGGATTTTTTAATATTAAAGGAGAAATTAATATTCTTTAATGAACAAGGTCAATGAAGAACACTTTGGAAATCTTTTATTTATCTAAAATCCATGCCTTTCAGATATTTCAGGTTATTTTAATCTATCCAGAAATCAGAAATACAGGTTTGAAATTTAAAATGTGTGTGTCAGTCCAATTTTGTTATAAATTGATTGTAGTTTATTGACCTTATGTGTGCTAAAAAAATGGGTAAACTTGAAAACTCAGGGTTTACATACTGCTTTCGTTCCTGATCAAGACAGGGCAACTGTCTAAATTCTTTGCAAACACTGGGTCTTAGGAGAAAACACTGTAAGGCTGTCTCCCAAGCCTTAATGAACGCACAATAAAGTCATGGGAAGCATTAATGGTTCCTGTGTGAAGGAAATGTGTTTGTGCTCCGACATCAAATGAACCTGAGACAAACTCCTGTCCCTTTGGCAGGAATGATAAGTCATAGTACTATGGAATTGGGCTGTGCAGTTCCTTTGACCCTCCATTTAGACTTCCAGCCGCGTTGCCTCCTACTGAACACAAAAGGCCAAAGATCTAGATGAGAAAATGGAGGATCCCTTGGGACTCTGATCCTGAGACCTACGTCACCTGACATGGTGCCGAAATTTGCATTTCTCTGGGAGCTAAATTCTAGAGTCCTCTTTTGGAATTCTTGAAAATAGAGCAGCGCTAATGAAACTAGGCGCTACAGGCCTGTGTGATGTCCCCCATGGGAGCAAATGGATCTTTCCTCAAACAGGTTTTGGTTTGTTTGTTTTTTTTTTCAGTCAGTGAAAGGGAGTAGAAGCACCAGGGCTAAGCAGGTTTTCCACGGCTGTATTACTACCCAGAGGAAGTTGTTTGTCAATATTCTGTGGTGTGAGTGAGATCTCCAGTAAGTCTAGCAGTTAAGAAAGGTTGCCTCTTTGGTAAAGTTGAGTGGGTCAAGGCTCTGAGCAGACCTTCAATTTCAAAGTAGGAGTCTGATGGGATCCAAAGGAAGAAACTAATGGGGCTGAGAGAGGGGCTGCAGAACTGAGGCTAACTATCAGGTAGATCAGTTACAGGAAGTCGGATGGCTCATATCCGGTGAACTCAGGACCTAAACAAAGTACTCAGGGCTTTTGGGGAGGAGGGGCGGCTCTGGGCCTTTGTCTTCTGGCTCTGCTACTTGACCAATGAGGTAGTGAGTTGGTTCAAGGTGTCCTAGCTGAGGTAGCTGGTGTGCTTTCCAGAATCTCAAAAGACACTTAGGATTGCTACTCCATTGTCAAGAGCAAGGAGAGCCTAAAGACAAAAAAAGATGTGTACCATTTGCTATACCGGTTATTTCCATCACCGGGGACACAGGTTTACACCAGAAGATTCACGTCTTCTCTGTGGCTGATATGCATGGGAGGCCTGCCTTTTTCTGATGGTGAAGGGGAGGTTGTGGAGAGGGACTGGGAGGACAGGGGGAGGGAGAGGAAACTGATCGGGCTGGAAAAATTAATTAACTAAAAAAAAAAGACAGGAATTTGAGAAGGAGAAGGAGGTAAGGGCTGAGGCTAGGAGGAGTTAAGGGGAGGACGGGTATGAATTGATGAAGATGCAAGTGCATAAAACTCTGAGAGAAGTACTAAAAATATTGTATTAAAACAAAACAGTCCGCTAGGCTCAAGAGGTGACAGCTACAGTGGGGATGCAACTGTTCCCCAGGGCCTAGTGGAAGGGCATACTCTAGAGCAGGCAGCCCCCAACCATAAAATTGTTTGGCTGCTTCTTCCTGTCATTTTGTTACTGTTATGCATTGTAATGTGTTTTCTGGTGGTCTTAGGCAGCCGCTGTGAAAGGGTTGTTCAACCCCCAAGGTAGTCCTGACCCACAGGTTGACGGACTGTAGGGAGACATGCTCATACCTCAGTTTTCATAAGCGGGTGAGACTTTGCCTATTTAAACCTGTTGTCATTCTGGTAATAAAAATGAAACTTGTCATACTTGGGACCTAACTTGATTCATGTTGGCAGGTATTATTCAACAGCCTGCTTCTGAGCATTTTTCCCTCTTACGGGAATTTTAAGCACACCAGGAACCCTAGGTCACGTGGTCAAGCAAAGTAAGAACTGTTGAATATTTCATAGGATTCGCTAAAATGAGCATTTCTTTGTCTGTACTAGTGATAGTGTTGGTAGTGACCACTTACAAGAGAGAACGGGATTGTATTCTGGTATACTGTTGTAATGCTTGCTCACCACTTGAACACTGTTTACTCAAGGTGTTTCACCGCTTCTATGAAGCCATCATCCACGTCTACAAGAACAAGAAAGTTCCTGGGGAAATTGGTGATGGGCCTGGCTGGCCTTGAGGATGCTCTTGAGTAAGGTAAGCTACACAGCAAATGGAGATCTTTGATGAAACAGCATGTTTCCATGGTCTTGGGTAATAGATGAAAGTCCTAAAGTGACCCGTGCCTTCTTCAGTTCATTGCAGATACGCTCCTGGGCATGAGAAATATTGTGCCAGCTAGGTTAAGCTGTGTGCACTGAAGTAATAGTTTCCCCATGGGCTAGACTAAGGAGCGTGCACCTGTGATGATGGTGTGTTGTTTCTGAAGTCAGACTTTTGGATCACAGATAAGATAGCTGAAGCACTAGAAATCTTCAGATGTGTGAACTTCCTATTTGCTTGGCGGAAGTGGTGCACACCTTTAATTCTAGCACTTGGGAGGTGATGGCAGGCGGAGCTCTGAGTTCAAGGCCTTCCTGGTCTACAGAGTGAGTTCTGGGACAGCCAAGGCTACACAGGCTCGCGTGCATGCACACACACACACACACACACACACACACACACACACACCCTATCTTGGAAAACCAAACCAAACCAAGTTTGTATTCACATACATTTTAGTTTAGACTAAGAGATTACATCTAGCCAGTCCTTTTCAGGGGACAGATAAATGCCTTTGTCTTAGGAATGGAAAACAAACTTTAGTTCTTTTTTGTTGTTGTTGTTGTTATAACTTTAGGATGAAGCTATTTAGTTAGGGAATACAAGAGAAACAATGTATCTTTCTCCACTTATTAAATACATGTTTAAGTCAAGTTGACCACAGAAACATGGATTCAAAAAGTGAGTAGGTACAAAGAAAGTATATGGAAACTTTCAAAGGAAAGAACTAATTGTATAACTGCCAGTTGTTTAATTGCCTTAAAGTTTAAAGTTGTGTGTGTGTGTGTGTGTGCGCGCACGCACACTTTATTTATTTTCTGCGAATCGGTATTTTGTCTGCATGAGTCTGCACCACACACATGAATGGTGCCCATAGAGGCCCGAAGAGGGCATCAAATCCCCTGCAACTGGAGTTACAGCTGTTGTGAGCCACCATGTGGGAGTTGGGAACAGAACTCAGGGCTTCTGGAAGAGCAACAAGTGTGCTTAATTACTTAGTCACCTCTTCAGCCGCAGCCTTGGCTTTTTAACTTAGTCTTGTGTTTAAACTTAAAATGTTGAAATTAGAAAACATGTAATATTGGAAATAATTGGTAGTAATAAGTTACCAATAAAAATAAAAGGTAAACCTCGGTGCCATTCAAAAATATAATCGGAAAATAGCCTTGTCTTTTTCTGTAGAAAAGATTTAAAGACCTCACGTTTTACTGACCTGTGTTACTGTACAAAGTAGTGGGTTTCACATTGGCATTTTTCTATTTTGTGGGGAGAGGGCCACGGCTTGACTCTCAAATTCAGACAGACTAGGCTGGAAACCATGATATAGTCCAGATTGTCTTCAAATTGGTGACTATCCTCCTGCCACTCTGGAATTAGGCATGACATCATACAGATGTGTAACGAACTTTGATACTATATATCCCATCTGGTGGTACCTTGTACCTTGTCACACACTTCTCCCTATTTCATATCCCCTTATCCCCAGTAGCCCCTAAAGGCCCCACTCTTTAAAAGACCTCACTCTTCACTCTTCATTTTTATGCACGTGTAATGCTATTTTTATTATTTATATCTAATGACACATGACAAGGTTTGTGATATGGGAAAATTATAATAGAAACAACTGAAGAGGCGAAGATATTACTTCCATATCATAAAAGTCAAAGTCCATGCCAGTAAATCCTTTCGGTCTATATACATACATGTGCCCACACATGTCTAATAAACATAACAGCAGAATGTAATGGATCAAAGATTATATAGCTATAACATATTTTAAGAGTATTTGCTCTAGTTGCTGTTATTTTGTTTGTGTTTTGTGGGCTTTTTGTTTGTTTTTGCCACGATGCACGTTAGTCTTTGTATTTGCTAACTACAAGGTAATGCTTGAGGGGTCTGGAGAGATGGCTCAGCCGTTAAGAGCACTGGCTGCTCTTGCAGAGGATCTGAGTTCAATTCCCAGCACCCAGATTGTAGTTTATAGCTTTTATAACACCAGTTCCAGGGGATCTGATGCACTTTTCTAACTTCTTCGAGGAAAAGGCACATGTGAGAGAACATGCAAACAAAACATTCCTACAATAAAAGTAAATAAATTTTTTAAAAGAAATGCTATCTTCCCCCCAAAAGCTCCTGTCAGTAGTTAATGCTTACTGTCCTGTGTTGAGTGAAGGACTCATGCACCAAACTGTATGTATAATGTAATAAAAAAGGAAAAAAATAGAAATGTTTTGTGTATGTCAATAAGTCTGCCTTAGATAATACAGGAATAACTGGGCTTAGCACTTGAGAGTGCATCAAGAGTTCGAGACCAGTGTCATAACAGGTTGGAGGACAGCCTGGGCTGAGACCCCGTCTCTCATACAAAGAATGTGGGTTGTTTAAATAATGATGAAACTAAAACTGATTTAGTTAAATAACACTGGTCCTCTTACAGAGTTTCCCATCATTTTGCTAATATTTAAGCTGGGGCTAGGAGTACAGTTTAGTGCTAGAGCATCTACCTAGCATTGCAAGGCCAAGGCCATGAGTTCATCCACCAGGATGCACCTAAAGAAATAGGTAGCCGAAAAACTTTTAGGGTTTTTGAGACAGGCTTTCTCTGTAGCTTTGGAGCCTGTTCTGGAACTTGCTCTGCAGACCAGGCTGGTCTCAAACTCAGAGATCTGCTTGTCTCTGCTTCCCGAGTTCGGGGATTAAAGGCGCGCGATGAAAAATTTAAAGATGTACTGCTGTCAGCTCTTAATAGTCTTTCCAGGAAATTGAATTTGTGTTAGATAAGTTGTGATGTCCAGAGATTTTTTAAGAATTGTGAATCAATTCAGAACAAATAATGTGCTCATGAAATGTGATTCATTGGCCGTTTGTGATTTAATATATTTATATCTCCACTTGTTCATAGGAGACAGAGCTAAAGACACTTTATAAAATCCTTTGTGTGCTTGAATTTGTGGTGCTGGTAACATCTGCATTTTTTATCCATGACTAGTTTGTAACTCGAAGAAATGTTTAATTCTAAAACCACCGGAGTTAAGAAATATTAAAAATATTACATACTCCAGGGCTGGGTGTGGTGGCACTGCCTTTAATCCCAGCGGTTGGCAGTCACAGGCAGGTGGAAGGGAAACAGTTTGTATTTCAAAGAATAGTTAGCAGGCTTGGAAGACTTCAAATTGTAAAAAGCGCTAATAGGTGGTAGGGTAATCTATCTGAACCCTTCAAGTGCAAAGTAACTAGATTTTAGGTTAAAAGTGTGTGTGCGTGTGTTTGTATGTGTGTAGTTGGATTTCCTTTATCTTTACTCTTTGGGCGCCCGCCACCCAGTTCCCATATGCAATGTATCTTCAACTGATTCCACATGTGTGTATGTATGTTATGTGTGATATGTGGAAAGAGGCAATATGAGAATATATAAAGAAGTTGTTCTAATTTTGATTAGGTGTTTAAAAATCTTTTGACTTTGTAATTCTCAAAATGAGAACACATTACCAGCAATGGTGCTATTTTGGTAATTTGGAAGAGGATCTACTTCTCAGAATAAATATAAAAAGATTTCCATCTAGGGGAAATATATTAATATGGAAGTAATGGAAGCATGCGGAGTATATCATTGACACAGAAGACGAGAAAATCCTACTCGGCATGAGTCATTGTCATTAAGGTTTCCACCTTAATGTGCATTTATATACATATGCATACTATGTAGCACATGTGGGTGAATATATTAAATGAAATGACGAGCATCTTTTTATAATGATTTACTTTCTAAAAATGAGAACTTGATAATTTATATGTAATTTTGTCAGGCTGCTTAGGAATCAGGAATATTTTTGTTATTTGGTTTATTGACTTTTTTCCTTTTTTGCTTTTTTTCATTTTTTATATTATTATTAATTTATAAAAATTTCCACTTCCTCCCCTCCTCCCAATACCGTCCCAGTCCCGCCCCCCCCCCCACCCCGCTCCTTCTCTTCCTACCTCTCCAGTCCTAAGAGCAGTCAGGGTTTCCTGCCCTGTGGGAAGTTCAAGTACCTCCTCCCTCCCTCCAGGTCTAGAAAGGTGAGCATCCAAACAAACCAGGATCCCAAAAAGCCAGTACATACAGACGAAACAAGTCCCAGTGCCATTATCAATGGCTTCTCTTCCCAGTCAGCCCCCATGTCAGCCACATTCAGAGACTCCGGTTTGATCACATGCTCTTTCAGTCCTAGTCCAGCTGGCCTTGGTGAGCTCTCATTCGATCAGTCCCCTTGTATCAGTGGGTGAATGCACCCCTCGCGGTCCTGACTTCCTTGTTCAAGTTTGCCCTCCTTCTGCTCCTCATTTGGACCTTGGGGGCTCAGTTCAGTGCTCCAATGTGGGTCTCTGTCTCTGTCTCCATCTATCATCGGATGAAGGTTCCCTCTGATCCTGACTTCCTTGCTCATGTTCTCCCTCCTTCTCCTCATTTGGACCTAGAGAGTTAAGTCCTGTGATCCAATGTGGGTCTCTGTCTCTATCTCCATCCATCGCCAGATGAAGGTTCTATGGCGATATGCAAAATATTCATCAGTATGGTTATGGGCCAAGGCCAGTTCAGGCACCCTCTCCTCTGCTGCCCAGGAAACAATTTGGGGACCTCTCCTTGGACCTTGGAACCCCTCTAGAATCATGTCTCTTGCAAACCCTAAAATGGCTCCCTTAGTTGAGATAAATACTTCCCTGCTCCCATAGCCAGCCTTCCTCCCTCTCCCCCATCCCATTCCCTCAAGCTACCCCAGTCCTCCCCTTCTCCCTTCTCTCTAACCATCTCCCCTTACTTCCACCCCCCACCCCCCGTGCACCCAAGTTTGCCTGGCAATCTTGTCTACTTCCAATATCCAGGAGGATAACTATATGATTTTCTTCAGGTTTACCTTCTTATTTAGCTTCTCTAGGATCACGAATTATAGGCT